AAAGCTCAGGGCCGTACACTGGCCCCGGTGGAGTTGAGGGAACGCAGGGTTTGCCTGGCTACGAATGGCATCAGAAAGATAAAAAGTGGCTGCTGCTACTTCCTGTCCTCAGGAGGTGGCTGGACAGGACTCTCAACTACCATGCGATTCATGTGCTCTTAGGACAAGGAGGGAGCCTACAGCGGAATGCCACCTCTGTTACACGCGCTGGAGGATTGCCCAGGCTTGACGGAGTAGTTCCGTGAGTTGTGCAATGTTGTGGGGCGCTTCGGGCGTGGGGCCTATCGCTGCCTGCCGTAGTTAGCACTATGGTTGACAGCGAGAGGGCGTGGTGCCTGTCGGTGCCTGCCGGGGTTCGCGCTATGGTTGACAGTGAAAGGGCGTGGTGAGTGCTGTTGTTACATACTAGGAGAACGTCATTACACAGATACGCTAAAGGAGGCAACTGCCACCCTGGATATCCACCACCGCAGATCATGGCGCAGGAGGTTGGCCCACGCGTGCAACGTTCCCTCCTTATAGTGAGACCCGCAGTCGCAGGTATGGGGATGACTTTTGCTCATATGCCACTGCTGGGCAAAGGCCTCCCTTGTACAGAAGGTATTAGGCTATATTCTACCCTGCGACTCCAATGCGGTTTCGCGGACTTAACATATAATCCAAATACTTTTTTACTATTTCGGAAATATGCAGGTTTCGTCACGAGCTTTTCATTCACCGCTGAACACGATCAGTCAGCACATAAAACTAACAATTTCACCCGTATGGGCACTGTGGGCACACTGTGGGCAATTTCAGTGCCCGTACGGGGGATCGAACTCTGGTTGCTCGAGTATATTGAATATATAAAAAAATACATACATAAAACATAAAACATCCTCCTTTTTTGAAAATATTAAAAAAATATCCGGTTGATACTAACTAACATTAGTAGTATACAAGCACTGTAAAATTATAGCCAAAATTGTTCTCGCTTGCGAAACAGTTAAGGGAGGATTCTTTTCAGTCCAAACCCGACAGTTGTTACTGACATGGGTTTTGTTTTATTACCCTGGGATTTGCTATGTCGTAGAAAACATGTGTCCAGTATGTACTTAATCCATCAACTGACCTCAGCTTGTCAATATTCACTCTAACAATTGAAATTACCCGAAAGACCACTTTTCTGTTATGTCCCCATACAAATTTAGACTTTGTTTAATCTGTCTTATGAAGTGATTAACTGTTTTAAAAGAAGACTAATATAAATAATAGAATAAAGAAGACTAGAAATTAAAACTTAATAATGTATGTTATTGTTATTAATTATTTATAAAACATAAGAATTTTTCCTAGATATGATTATCTAGAGGTCTTTTGATAATTGACCTTAAATTCATCAAACTCATTTTGTATTTTCTATTTGATTTAGCACGTGGCCTAGTGGTAGAGTTATCTTATAATTGCACAGATGATCTTTCATTTTCTGTAAATGTTGTCGACTGTTTTCTCCAATATATTTATGGTGACAGTAATCTTTCAGTTCGATTTTCTCGCTTTAAATATATTTTTGTACACTTGTGATGGGTCAATTATTTGAACAACTTTTTTTTCAATCTGAATGTTTTTTTATTTATAACATAATAATGAATAAAAATATTGAAAAAAAGTGAAATACACGTTATCAAACGAACAAGAACACTAATCGGATTTATTGCATTTCCACCATCAATGTGATTAAAATTGTTGAATAATTTAATTATTAATTAATAAAATTTAGTAAGTGAGGCTTTATGACAAGGTATTGCTATGCCCTTTAATAATAAAAATGGTGTACCTAGTCTCTACTTTGTAAAGGTCATTTATATATAGCTGGTTTATAACGGTGCCATTTGTTGTCTCTGTAAAAATCAATAAACAAAATAGCCCAAACGTTGATTTTAAATAAGAGATAATTTATATCATCGTAGCAGGTGGTGGGCTCGTAAATGATTCCGTTTTAACAATAATGAATTTAAAATGTTGAAAATATATGACCCGCTCGCGTATACTAAATAAAAATGCTTGTATTATTTTTAAGAGCGTAATCTTTGATTGGCTGTACATAACATATAAGCGAGTTTACTTTATTGAAGATAATGTAAGGAAATATCGTTACACATGAGAAAAAACACTACGACATCGCAGTTTTATCTCGGACATACTAATATTGACATATTTCAAATTACTAAGATTAATACAAGTCATTGTTTTTAAATCTTTTCACTGTTATATCTAGTTTTCATAATTTGAGATTTTATACTTACTTTGGCTTTTATTTCATCGTGGATATTTTTATGCTAATATATTTACATTCTTGCTCTGCGTGAGGACGGATTAAGCGCTCCCTTTCACCCGAGTTTCGGTATAAAATTATTTGGTTGGATTTTTCTGTACTGCGGATTTACTTTGAAGATTAACACGGGGCGGGTTGGATGAATCAAATTAAAGCCTCCTAGTTACATAAATGTTTAAAGGTGAATGCTAAATCAAAATATCGAAAATATTTTCTTTGCTCTATATTTTTCTATTCATTTTTGTTCTATTCCCATAAACTAAATAACTAACAGCCTATACATGTCCCAATGCTGGGCAAAGGCCTCCTCTATACAGAGGGTATCAGGGCATAGTTCACCACGCGGCCCCACTGCGGATTGGCGGACTTCACATATCTTCGAAAAATATTTTTGTTTGTTATTATTACGAAAATATGCAGGTTTCCTCACGATGTTTTCCTTCACCGCGGAGCACGTGATAAGTCAGCACTTAAAGTTAAAAACTTCATTGGTGCCGGCACCGGGGATCGAACTCAGGCTCGAGTACAATCTTACTCGACACTGAGCTATCACGGCTCTCTATTCTCATACCGCATGGATATTGCTGTGTGAGTTATTATTTGATGATCTTAATCACACCGTTTAAGATTTCAAGTTTAAAAACTACTACCCACAGTGGTAGTGGCCGGAGAATTTATTCGTAGTGTGACAATTTTAGACAGTTTTCAATATTTATACCAATATGATTGAATGATGTATTCCAATATTCCAATATGATGAATTTCATATTTCATATTCGCGCACTATCCAGATCACCTACCTTTTTTCCTTTCGCTTTTATAATTTCATGTAACTATTAAGTTACCGATGATGCTATACAATACTCAATACAGTTTCAGTCAAATATTACAAGAGCTATGACTATTATTCACTTAACTCGTGCCTAATGGGTACATCTCCGTTCTTCACAATGTATGGCGGAAAAGGGAGACGTATTTTTTTTTATATTTTACTTTTGCAAACAATTGAAGTAATCAGAACTGCTTAGTAACATGACAATTCCGTATTTTTTGCTTTAACTCATTACTTTTTAATAACAAGCTTAATCAGAAGTTTAACGCTGTCATCATTTAATAATAATTTTTGAACCTAACAGCCCTTACTTGTAAAATTTTCCACGAGTATATAAAAAGAAAAAATTATAGCTAATGAAACTGTAAGCACCTTTGTTGGGTATGCACAATTTAATGGTATGAATAACATTAATTATCAGACGCCAAGCTAATATCATTGCCAGCAGATTAATATCAATATCCTTCATATGTGTTGAGAAACATAACGTTTTTAACTTCAACAAAAAATATTGTAAAATGTTTACATTCTTATATTAATTGATATACAATTTTATATATTTTTTAAAATATATAAAATTGTATATCAATTAATAACGCTTTTAGTAAAATTATAATTGTTTTAATATTAGAAATACAACTTCACTGTCTCTACGTATTAATGTTCATTTTGTAAATTTCAAGACCTGTTTGATCGCATTTGTATACCTTGCTTACTTGAGATTTTCTCCATCTTGACACGCCGCGCCGCCACGTGTAAATTTCAATATATGTATATACTGTTACATTATATCAGACTTAGAGACATTTCGTGAAGTATAAGCATAAGCAACCAAGATGCGTGAAGTGTAAAAAGGTAACTGTCAGGCTTTTGAGTGTAATCAATTAGGGTTTTAGGTCAGAACACCTCATGCCTACAATACGGATAATGTGACTTATGTGTACGCCTGACAATCTAGAAATGAGTATAAATCTATATTGATAATATTATAGCATAAATTTTGATAAAATGTAACTTTGTGAGAACTTTATACTATATATATACATACATAGTGTTTTATTTCAACGGTTTTTCCGCATTTTAGTTTTTATTCCATACGTTTCTAATACTTTACAACACCGACTTACAGAAGAGACTTTAATCGTAACTGTACCGTGTCTCTAGAGTAATTTTCTCTTTATTTTCCTTTTTGGTCTTTACTCTGCAGATTGCACGATTTTCGCAATCATTTGCAAGTGGAATTCTTCTACTACTGGTTACTTTAATTTCTTACGTGTCAGTGGAAAAATAATAAAATAATGATGGCTGCAGCACGTATTATTATTTTTTATGTCTGTTTATTTTACCTTGTCAGACAAGCGTATATATAAAAAAAATTAAGTAAAAGTATTGCAATTATCTAAAGGATGTTTTCAAATTCTTTAATGGAACTTAAATGGGAACAAAAAAAAAACAGGTGCGCGTCGGCACCGCGCGCGAAGGGTACCGTTCAACGATCTAAAATGTCATGTCTGTTGTATAGGAGTCCCAGTCAAATATTTTTTTTATTCTGTTTTTTTTTAGTATTTTTATATCATATAACGGCAACAGAAATACATCATCTGTAAAAATTTCAACTCTCTAACTATCACGGTTCATGAGATACAGATGGTGACAGACGGACAGACAGCGGAGTCTTAGTAATAGGGTCCCATTTTACCCTTTACGGTACGGAACGCTAAAACAATAATTAATAATTTTTATAAACGGAAAATGCGGAAAAGCGAATTCATTTAAGAAGTACGCGAGAAAAGAGATCGAGGAATTGCGACGCGTCTCAGGCTATGCGCGACAAGTGAGTGGTTTTACACCTCACGGGTTGAAAGCTGCCGGCGACGGGCGCGGTGCGGCGCGTCCGGGGTGCCGCATGCCCGGGCCGCGGCAGTACTGCGTCGGACGCCGAGCGGACCGCTGTCTAAAGTTCACGCGATGACCCCCGCGCAACTTTTCCGCCTCCACCCACGCGCGCACTCGTGAGCGTGACCATTTTCCCGCTCCGTTTTGTGTCAATTGTACGCGCTCGCGAACGCCGCGCTCCGTTTTATAACGGACGGCCCGTGTCTGTGTTCGCGGTGATTTATTCCGTAATTGCACCGTGATGGCGACGTTCGCGTTTTATTGAGGCAACATTCGATGCTTCAATTTTTAACGTAAGTTACGATTGCGCCGCTTCGTTTATTGTCGTTTTAATTGCGTTTTCCAAAAGCGGCGAAACAAACGCTTGGTAATAAAATTATTGTTAATGCAACGCTATCTTTTTGCTATGGTATATAAAAATAATATATTTAAAGAACGTTTCAAGTACTTTATATTTAAAAAACCATTATGGTTTACTGTAGAATAGATGAATCGTGTGTTGATGAATGTTTTATTTCAGTTTTACGTTGCAAAAACTACTTTACTTGTCAGATGTTGTTTTACTAACTATAAACGACAAAGGGAACTGTTTAAAAACTAGAGAGAGAGGAAGTAAGTTAATTGATAAATGAAAACATTTTATGGTTTAAATGTTTAAATGGTTTAAAAGTTATAATTTCTTTTAGAATAATTGATTAATTGTAAGTTATAAATTTAAATATTTTCTTATAAAAAGAAAGTATTGGAAATAAAGCAAAGCATTTTCTACAAATGAAATTATTAATGGTAATGTCGCCCAATGACAATGACAAAGAGAAACTGGTCTTTTTGAAATACAAACAAAAAGCCTCTGAAATACGATTCCTTTTGAAGGCGGCATTTGTTAAATGAGCGCTATAGAAATGAACTCTTTGCCACTTGGCTATTCATAAAGAAGAACAGTTATTATCCTTAATACAAGTTTTTAACAATTCCGCTTTCAGATACGATTTGCCATTTCATCCAGAATCGAGTGTTTATCTACAACGCATTGAAAACTTTCAATTAAATACAAATATCATCGAGTATTATTTAAATTCCTTCAATACCAGTGCTTAGAGCGTAATTAATAGCGCTTCATTGGTTATGTTAATGTTTTCCATTATTCACATACGTGCCTAAAATTCATAAAGCAACAACATTCTCCTTTGTAAGTAAGGTAATCCCGTGTACCGTAGAATATACCTATGTATTAATACCGTGGAAGGGAAGAGTATGACTTCATATTAAAGATATTCTATGCAATGTCAATACCTATGGTAGTGAGGGCTTGGTTTGTCGTTTTAGTTATACCTTTCTAATTTACGTAGGTGAAATATCGCTACAACGTTTGAAAAATATTTAAAAGCACAAAAAAATGGCATGTATGTGTGTTATTTACTTTCTGTGTTATTAACTGCATGTATGTATGTTTTTTTTTCAGTGTTATCCAAAGGTTGTCATCACATGAGTAGATAAATTATAAACATTCTTCACCAAAATCAAATCAGTAAATCTTTCATATTTGGGGTAGTAAATGTTCCAATAACAATATTCCAATCGCAATGTTGAAATTAATTCATATTATAACAATTCTCTTATAATGCAATCAATTGTTTTTAATTTATGGATGAAGGTAGCAAGCGAGCTGTGTTAGTTGTGTTGACAGCCTATCAGTGTTATAAAAGTAAATATAATAAAATGCGTTGTAACACAAATATTTCATGGCACATTCGTTGGCACAAATATTTCAATAGAAACAGTTTTTCAATCTTCGCTGTCGTCAGGACCGGGTAAAAGAAATTGAAATTTCCTATAATAAATTGTTATTCCTAACGCTCGCGTCCTCACGAGTATCTATTTACAAACTTAGCATTTAACTTCTTACGTTTCTGTAATGGAATAACCAAATTAACCATTGTTTTGTGAGTTAAGCTTTTGTACGTCCGAGTAGAATTATTTAGATCGCAATAATTTATATGTGGGCATATCAGAGACATCGCAATGATAAAATAATAGCGGAGAATGCTCCCAGTCGTATTATAGTGATTAATGCGATGTAATAATTTATTATGAACAGCTCTGTTATATATACCGTTTCTAAATACTGCTGCCACTGCTTACTGCAAATGAATAAATAAACTGCATTCATGCCCGATTTAATCCAAGATACAGCGCAAATAGGTCGAGCTATTTCCCTTCATAACATTGTATTATAAAGTTGGTGATGGCATAAAAATATCAGGTATCTCCCATTTATCTCTGATTTTCGAGTTATTAAAATACAAAAACCTTGAACTTCATATAATGGTATATATTTTATGAATATTGCTAAACAATAAAAGATAAAAAAATGAAACCTTCTTTTATGTAGATTATTATTTTTCAACTGTAATGTGGAGAACATAGAGATATTAAGAAGATATTGTACAAAGACTACTTGTGGGCACTTATTTTGTTTATTTATGCTGAGTGCATTTGTAATTTGCACTCGCGTCTGACTTTAAAAATTATTTTACTACTGTGTTAATAAAGATGCCTTTTCCCCTTTGTGTTAATATTGAGAGCGTCGGCTTGGTTTTTTATTAGTCAAGAGCTGTGGTACTCATACTGCGACGTGAGCTTGCATTATTATTTGCATTTTAGTTCTATATTTAGCTACCCAGAGTTAAGTAAGCGGCAAGAATTATGCAAAGTTAAGTGACGGTGATGACGAATGATATTACGGTACGGTAACATAAAATAGGCAGTACTTGAATGAACTGTGCTTATATCACATCATCAGCTATGTTAATAGCTACTACTTGACTGCCCGTTCAAGCACATCGTCAGCTAGTTTGACTGTAGCTACTATACATTCAGACTTGAAAATACACGTCGCACGCGCCGTTGTTTATACTATTCTGCTACTAATAATAGTTGTGTTTTTAGCTTCAATTGCTTCCTTCTACATACTATGACGGTTGTATGAAAAAAGACATCTTCTTTCATCATCTTCTTCTTTCAAATCAAATCATTTATTCATCGAAATAAGAAATATACATTTCATCTATCGATAGTCATTTTTTTAATCTACCACCGTTTCGTAATGAGGTTCCTCTAACGGAGAAGAAACAGGCGAAAGAAACTCCGTAGGTATCCGTATTATTTTGTTATATTTTTTTTCTCAAACAAAAATACATTGTTATACAGTACAATTTTTTTTATTTAGAAACAGCTTATGAGCGATCATCTCATTCCCAGGGGTTATTATCGTTAATGTACTCTTTTATATTGTAATAACCGTTTGTGTCGATGTCAAATTATATCTTTCTGGCCCAGAACTTGGCCACTTCGACTGCACAATTCGTGGCGTCCATCAAATGCTGGAACACGTGGAAGGGCAGGTCCTGCCTGCCTGCAGGACACCACACAGGGGGAAATCACTGACTGTAGTCCAGGGTGCGCCGGTCGTACGGACTCTGTGTGTTATCGCTCGGAGAGACTCCTTTCATGCACCCCCTATTCCTGATAATTGCGTTGTATTTTATACGATATTTGCATTAAGTACGATCTCGCCAGTGAAAATTCAAGAAACGTGCAACTTATACGTCGCCAAAAAATCACTTTGACGGGTTTGTAACCCGTAATAAACTTTGGAAGACTACTTCAACTTATCACTGCATATTTTTGAAACAAAGTCGTCCCGCTGTCTGTGTATAATACAGTACTGTGTCCCACTGTCTGTGTATAATATAGTAATATAATATAGTACTGTGTATAGTAATTTTAAAAATCTAAGTAAATAATATATACTTAGATTTTTAAAACTACGCAACGGATCTTGAAGCGGTTTTTTTTTACTAGATAGAGTGATTACTGGAGTAGGTTTATATGCATAATAAATTGCACCCGTGCGAAGCCGCTACTTTTAGATAAATATTAGTGGTGCACTGTGTATAGTTACAAGCGAATACGAATATTCACCCGCACATTCTGCCTAAATGACCGAAAATTCTGCGTAATAATTCGGCCCAACACGTTCATAGAGGAGGGTTCATATAGTAAGAACGATCCAATACAAGAAAATACAAAATACGTGTTTCGACACCACATCGCATTGATAGTTATTTAGTATCAGTAAAATATTAGCCTATACACACAAGTTCTAGGCAAAGGCCTTTAGTGTATAGTCCACCATGCGGCCCACTACGAATTGGCGGACTTGACGGACAGATATCTTCGAAATAATTTTTGTTATTATTTGGAAAATATGCAGGTTTCCCCACGATGTTTTCCTTCACCGCTGAGCACGTGATAATTCGGCACTTAAAATTAACAATTTCATTGGTGCCAGCACCGGGGATCGAATTTAGGTTGCTCGATTATATTGAATTAAAAGCGTGCGACCGGACACTGAGCTATCACGGCTTAAGTATTGAAAATAAATTATCTGATGGAATCGTTTTTTTTTAATTAAAAATTTAGAAGCATCACTCATCAAAATCTTCAAGAAGAGAGCATACTCTTTCATAAAAGGGCGGTAACACATTTGTAAGCCCTCTGGTGTTGCAGGTGTTCATGGACGGCGGTAATCATTACCAGCAGGTTAGGTTACCCTCCTGCTCGTTTGCCCCTTTTCTCCATAAAAAAAATCTAAATTGGTATCGATATGACACAACTATAAGTACCCTGTAGGTATTGGGTCGAAACCCTCTATGGTAATTCCTTTTGACCTAGAATCAGAAAATTTGGCAAAAAGCAAGATCTTACAGCACATATAAAGGAGTTCAAAATTAAGGTTCCTCATTCCCACAGTCTTTCTTTTATAAATTTCTAAAACCAGTTAATAAGTAGGCAGGCTTTCCGCATTTACTGGGATTTTGTTGTAGAAGCGTATACACCGCCCCATGAACGAGTTACTTACTCTATCGAGTCTAGTAACTGGAGTTACAAGCTTTTATTTGTTCTTATTATTCAAATCTAAATTATAAATCGTTCATATGGTCCTTTTTGCAAAATAAATATTATTTCTATATTGGCTACATAATAGCAAAATATGACATCATGCTATGGATTTTACTAAATTTAAAAATTCGAGCTGTCCTTACATCAGACAGACAGATAGCTGATGTAATAAGGAGTAACTTAGGCTACTTTTATTTTAGAATTTTTTTATTTAATTTCCACGCGGACGAATTCGCGGGCACAGTTAGTACATAATAAACTTCGTAATTACCCAGTCGTAAAATGTATCCAGAAAATTCTGTCATTAAAATATTTCTTCTCCCCATGTTGTTTTTGATACAGTTTCAAAGTTTTGGGCTTTGAATTCGTAGAACTTTCGTTTGACTTCAAGCGTACATACGGGACAGAACATTTCATGAAATGTCCATATTAATTTCTTAGAAAATGAATATAATAATTTTCCAAAAATGTCGGCAATTCTTGAAAAAACTCATCATGCCAAATTTATATACTCAACACGTGTTCCGTTGGGCTCTCAGCTTCGATTTTTGTACTAGTCCAGTAAAAAAACTTAAAATTAAATATGGGCATTCAGCTGAACGAAAATTGATATTTTGTAATATCTACGTCATGTTTAAATAAGCATAATAGTAGTATACCATTTGAATTTAATTAGAGTGTAATCGAATAGTTCCTGAATTATTGAATCGAATATATTATGTCCGTTGCAGACATCTCTTGAGTACGGTGCTTTAACGGTCTGTTTGTCTGTCGATGGAATCTGCGATGGCCCCTAGATTTACGTATAAATGTACGCATGGAAACGCAAACGTCGATAAAAAATAAATCACCTGTTCTCTCATCCTTAGTTTCATCAGAGCCAAATATGCCTTCATTGAGAATGAAGGCATATTTCGCTCTGGTTATAATCTATCCATAGCAGTGAATATTTAGGCTTAAAGATTCATGACTGGCATTAACAGTTGATCTAAATGATTATATTCTAACAACTATAAATTCAAACTGACATAACTGTAAGTAAAGTAGATAAAGTAACAGTATAGACATATCCCACTGCTGAGCAAAGACCTCCTTTGTCAAATGGTATAAGAGGTCCACCACGCGGCCCCACTGCGGACAAGTGGATTTTTAATATCTTCTAAATATCTTTTTGTTATTATTTCGAAAATATACGGGTTTCCTTACAATGTTTTCCTTCACCGCTGAGCACGTGATAAGTCAGCACTTAAAATTAACAATTACATTGGCGCCGGCACCGGGGATCGAATTGAGGTTGCTCGAGTATTATTAAATTAAAGACGAGCGCCCGGACGCTGAGCTATCACGGCTCTGCTGACATAAATTTTGCTCAATTCTATTCTAAATGTGTGTCCGTGATATGAATGCTTGTTCAGACAGGTGCGTGGGTTCGTGTTCTAGAGACCCGCCATTGTTCAAGTCGAGGCGTGGTTAGCCACACCTTCCATTCACAGGCCTTTTGTTAACTTCCAGTAGGAAATAAATGTGTACTAATTTTCGTATTGATAGACGTGTACAGTCCAGGCAATTAATATGACCGTGTAAGCTTTCTATGTTACGAAATTTAAATTGACTTTATGAAAATGAATGAACAACACCTAAAATTTATCGGCACCTGTAATAAATTAATGCGTAACGGAACTGTGTTATCATAACTGTGTATAAATTATCTTGATTTGTAAAAAAAACAGTCATAATTATTACCCTATGTTTTATTAGATACCTCAAGGGAAGATACCTCAAGGTCGGGCGCTCGCCTTTAATTCCATTTACACGAGCAACCTGAGTTCGATTCCCGGTGCCAGCGCCAATGACATCGTTAATTTTAAGTACTAAGTGAGGAAACCTGCGTATTTTCTAAATAATATACAAAAAGTTTCTCACATTATAGTTCTAAAAGTAAAAATTACCTACTATGCACCTTTTATTAGTTCATATATTTATAAATATACAATTTGCACCGAACTTACAAAATTTTGTTGGCGCTAGCAACACTGTATACCGGATATGACGTTTTCTACTCGAACGAAAGGACACATGGTCGCATGGAGCAGCGGGCATTTGCTTTTCGATTGCGTTCCCGGATGGAGATATAACCACTAGTGCTGCTGGTCGTTATAATAGTTGTTAATATTTAACTTCAGGAATAGTTAAAATATTAGAATCAAAGTAAAAACCTTAAAACTTTTTATTTATAATTTAACGTTTAATTTTTATATATAATTAACTTTTTATTAATAATTTCCATAAACAGACCCACTATTTGCTTCTACCAGTTAGGTTATCTAACTGTAGGTATAAATAATATATTTTCAAAATGAAAATACAACCGATATAGGTAGGCAATTCAGATTTATGATCTCTTTTCGTTACGCCAATATATGGAGACATCATTACTCACATGTCTAGATGTTAATATAGACCGATGTATTGGAATAAAGCTCTCGAAAAATTATTTCTAGCTAGGAAAACATTGGCTTATTCGTACAAATGTACGTGTAATAATATTCTTAATGCTCTGTGATGAAACTTTCATTAATTAAGACAGAATTAGTGAAGTGTTTCATCTAATATTTGTTTTGTAGGAGCGGATCATTTGTATCTGCAATATACATACACATATGTAAGGACAATAGGTTTTTTTACAACCAAACATCTAAAAAAGCAAAACATATTTAGTTCATACTGAAACTACAAACGTCCTCACTTTTTACATATTTATTCACTCGTTAGAAGCATTGTGTGAGGCTGTGGATACAGTTTTCATCAGAGACCTCTTCAATGGCTTCGTAGAACGCATTCACCACTTCTTCCTCGATTGAAGTACGGCAGTGATGTAACGACTCTTTTGAAAGACTTTTCTAACACTCCGGGCAAGCATTTTTTACATATCAACCTACAGTAACTATATTTAGTTTTCGAAGGACTATCAGACGTTTTTTCCACATTGCTGAGCTGTTTCCTGGCGTTCTAACCTTCCTTAACATTCCTCGGAATGTCTTTTCAAAGAAAGGTTTCATCATCTGTCATGTTGTCATAGACAGCCACTGTCATCCATTAAACGGTTATATCATTTTATGTCATCCCTCGTTTTGTTGTAAAGCAGAGTATTGCAAAGTTTCAGAACCTTCTGATGCATAAGCATGTTTTGGATTTAGTTCAAATCAAATTCAAAGTCAAAATTTCTTTATTCAATATAGGATTATTTTTAGCTCTTATTGAAGTCAAAAACTACCTCGAAGGTTTTAAAGCATAAGTAAGGTTCCTGAGAAAAATCGATGGTGACAAACGTACAGACAGACGGATAAGAGAGTGATCATATAAGGTTTCCTTTTTTACCTTTTTAGATACGAAACCCTAATTAATAAATTTAAGAACTGGCGGTGGTCCGGAATAACAATGACATTCAGATGTCTATAGTCAAAGTCTGTCCCTTGACCATGAACGCTGTAAGAGGTTCGAAAAGTCGAAAAATAAGAACTAAAAACAAACGTGATAAATCCTTGAACACAGTTTCATTTAGTAATGTATAATGGGGAAAATACTACAATTATCAATATTGCATTCAGTCTCCGTTCGACCTACGCGTACATCGACACGAAGATGATGTCTAAATTCACTGAACCACGAAGTGGCAGACGAGCGACATGCGGTTTAATCAACAAATACTAATGGAAGTCTCGGGCAACTCTCTATTTAGCATTCACACTGTTATTATACGAGCTATCCGAATCATATTCTAATGATAACTGGTCTAGCCATCCCAGCATCAACCTCTTCACAGTTGCACGTTTAAAGATTTATAAATGAAATAAAATAATATATATAAAATAAAATGAAATATAAAATGAGAATATAATGTAGACCTCATTGTGAATCTAAACCATTCTCGAATCGAGCTGAAGGCACACATAAAATATCATTAAAATCGGTCCAGCCGCTTAGGAGTTCAGTGACGTACACACGAACAGAAGAATTATACTCGTAAAGTATATAAAGTAAACTCGTAAACTCGTATAAAGATGTCTTAAACTAGGAAGTGAAGGACTTTAAGAATTTTAACGATAACCGAGATCTTAAAGAAGTTTTTATACAGTAATTAAAAGCATTATTATTTATAATTCAAGAATAAAGTTTATATTTTGGTAGTAATTTTTATATAAAAATAATGTGTAATATTTTTCACATTAAGTCCGACTTTAAACTGATTCTTGAGTCATATTATTCTCCCGAGTGTAATCATTCGGGAAAATATAAGACAGGTCAATTAGATTATTTTTTTTATACGACATGAAAAAAAGATAAAAATACATACGGCACAGTTACAATGTGAATTATTGTGAGTTTAAGAGTAATTAAAATACTTTTGTTTCAGTGATAGGGCAATACAAAAAATGAGAACTGAATCAGTATGCTGAATGTTCTGAAAACTTGACTTCATCGAATTTGACTATGTGTACGAAAAGTAATAAACGGAAAGTCGTATAAAACATAAAATGTGGAAACGAGCTGTGTGACAACTCTGCGGGGAAGACGTTCGAATGAGACTTGGCAGCGTGTACAGCGTAAGTGAGGGTGTGGAGAGGTGCGCTTGTGCTAGGTAAGAGCTTGGAGTTACAGGATCAATATTTACGTATTCTCAATCAGATTATGTTTAAGCGGCGACCTAAAATAGGAAGTATATTACTTTGTGTGTAGTTTTTAATTTTATGTTATAACTTGACTAAAGAAATTTCGAGAACATGTTGTCTCTGTCTAATGAAACTATGGTTTGTTCATTTAAGCGTTGATTTAACAAAACCGCACTAGTTCTTGTGCCCTCACTCTCCTAAATCACATTTTGATTTTAATAATTTTAAAATCTTTTTATTTTCTATATAATATAACCCTTTGAAGATAAAATCAAGATTAGGCCCGCATGTTACCTACACACCTTGACAATATTAGTGGGATGAAAATTATGCGTTACTGATTGGTCCTGTTGAGCTTCAATAATTATAATTAATTATAGTTCATTAATCATAGTAGGAAGTTATGACCAATAAAAGGATATCTAAACGTTGCTGCTCATTTAGCGTTTCCTTTTTCATCTCAATAATATTAGAGAGTTATCAATTTTCCGCTTACTCGCACGTTCCCTCTTTACGTCACAACGGCTGAGACTTTTTTATTTGGTGAAAACGTTCAGTTTCACTTTGCGTAATTTTACCATCCAAGGTAATATATATGCACTTGGAGGTTGCGGGCATGAAAAGCCCGTCTTGTTGCGAGTCTCGGGGTCTATATCCCTATTACTCGCACATGTAATCTCGACCGGCAACGGCCGATCGGTTGTGTGCCTTGAAGGGGGTATATCCCTAACCGCGGTAGCGGTGTTAGTAGGGCAGGTATGTTAATATATATTCAAAAGCTAGCATTATTTATATATCGAAATTGTCTGTAGGTAGCGGGGGCGCGGGTGCGGGTGCGGGTGTAGCCATGCTCGGCTAATGGACGCCGCTGACTGGTGGTCACCGTCGCCGTCGGCCTCACCGCCGCCGCCGCCCCGCGCCCCACCACCACGCTGCAGATGTAGACCTATGTTTTCTAACAGTTACCATTGCTTACCTCACTATGGTTAGTAGTCAAAACTACTTTGAAGACACGCTTCTTTAACATAAACTAAATATGCGCTTTTATTATTTGGCATTATAGTAACAGCAATATAGCCCTTAAATTTCGCCATCCATATCCAGCACAATAACATCATATATCAACAGTACTGTTATTGTCTTATAATTTCATTGTATTTGGTCACACTATAGCCAAATTTAGATAACTTGAATATGTAGTAGTCAGCTAATAAAGCGTTTTATAACAAAGTAAACCCTAGATTTTAAGCAATAGGACGACACATCGATGCGAAGACCTCGAGATTGTTTTCAGTACCTATGTGTTGAAATAGCATTTCAAGGGTAGATTAAAAAAAAACTACTAGTATGTTGTTTAATTTTTTTTTCATACAAACATTGAAACAGCGTTTCAAGAAATGCAAACGTGAAATATACATATATTGAAGATTCGAAGTAGAACTTTCACCCAAAATTATAGAATCATTATATAGCCCTATTAAACCCGTCTCCCCGCGCTGAGGCTATCGCTTGGCAACAGCATCATGGATCGTGCTAGCGGGTTGAAGCCTAAGAGAATAAGATGACATTTGTTCTAGAAGGATGGCATGAAGGTGAAGACGAATCGACCGGAGGCGTGCTACGCGAGCGCGAGCTACGTTCGCTACATCGCACAGTACCGGCTTTACGGAGACGTGAGCTTGATACCAGAGCAATCAAGCACCATTTCTATCCCGAAGGTGGTTGGGGGTATGTTTGTTCAAAAATATTATACGTAAGCCCTCACCATTTTGACATTCCGAAATATTCACTTAAACCCTACACAATTTATCTCTTGGGCCCTATTTCAAATACTGGGAAAACTTGACATATAGACCATCGTAGCCAATAGTGTACCTTATCAAAGAAAACAGTCGTATCCTTGTTATTAAGGAAGTCGACCGTAATTCTATTTCAATAGTATTGTGGCGTTTAACTCGTAATCTATGCTATTTGATCTTTTCAGTTTAGAAGTTAGCAAAGTTCTGCCCGGAGGTTCAATATTTGTGCTGTATATCCGATTATATTCAAAGAAATTGCTTGTAAATAAAACCAGATGAGCTTTGTCTTTGTAAAAGAGGATATAATACGGCTTTGGCTTTAATTCTGCGTAAGCTGCAGCTTCTGATTATTAAAAAACCCAAAGAATTTTTATATTTACGAATTTAAATATTTATATTGGTATGTAACTATGTCTATTATAGTTTAGTAATGGATAAATACTAGCATAATTCATAGTCGTTTTTGGTTACCGAAAGTTGCAAATTATAATTAAAGTACAGTATTTTTCCTAGGCATTTTTGTTTTATTTATTTCAGGCTTGTTTGAAGTACTAATAATAGCTTCAACCAACAAAGACCACACTTGACTACACAACAGAGCACATTCTGTTGAAATTCATGAGTATATAAATATCATTTACGATTTAAAAGGACCTAAAAATTCCAAGACTAATTCCAGGTTCAGTACATCTATACAATAATATTTTTTAAATTAAAATACACCACACGTGATATAACCATAATATTTATGCTCTGAGCAGAAGCTTAAAACATGAATAAAATAAATTATGTCGTTGCAGTTGGATTGTATGCGGTGCAGCATTTTTGGCTCATCTTTTATCAACTGGCTTACAATTAGCTTACGGGGCTCTGCATGTATACGCATTGAGGCATTTGGGTCCAAATGCTGATCATGCAGGTAAATGTTTTAGTTATTTTTCCGGTACCATCGTTACATTCATACTTGTCTTTCGACACTTTTGATGTTTTTGTTATTAATTTCGCTACGAAAGACTAAATAATTAAAGGTTTTTCATTTTAATTTTGTTTTATATTTGTTTTTATATTATTATTGCTTCCTAACAGTATTATTTTTATATCATATAATGTAATAAATTACTACTTAAGTACAATGTTAATAACATTTTGTGCATTGTTTATTAAGTTCAACATACTTCTGGCAACTCAGTTTGATAGATTACCGGTAGTGTTTGCTACAAATTGAGCATTTCCTTGGTCAGGAAATAACTGTCTTAGTTCAAGAATAACGTAAATCTTGCGGAAATGTTCAGATAAGAGAAATTTATCTTATTTATTCACATGTGAGAGTAAAAATGCTAATATAAATTTAATACTCTTTGTTGTTACTGTTACTACCCGCCCCAGCTTTAATTATATTGTATATTATTATTTATTATTTATATTATATTGTAATTATATTATATTGCATTATACATATAAATCTTCTTCTTGAATCATTTTATGTAGTAAAAAGATCAAGATCCGTTGCGTAGTTTTAAAGATCTAAGCATACATAGGCACAGACAGACAGCGGGACGACTTTGTTTAATGATATGTAGTGATATTTATTTTATTGATACAACTCACCGTCATAGTGACGCTTTCTTTTATTTTGACATAAATAGTTTTATTAAGTCTTGTTTTAATGTGACAAAAAATACTTGGTATTTGCCATTATATTATAAGAAAATAATTGCTACTTTAGTAGCATATAATATACAAAACTCAGTTGTACATTGTACAACTAAGAACATTTTACTTGCAATAAATTTACAAAAAACAATGTTAGTTTAAACTAAACATTGAGACAACACCTAAGCCACTTAAATTAAATATTGTACACCAAAATATACAAGGCATAGGTGGCAAAGAACCTGAAATTGAGCTGTTTAGAAGATTAATTGAGCTGGTTAGAAGATTTAACATCCATGTCATCTGCTTCACAGAGACATGGTTACATAAGCATTTTAATATTATAGATATAGAGAACTATAAATTGTTAAGTTCGTTCGTAAGAGCAAATGCTATTCACGGTGGCTCTCTTGTGTTAGTAAGAACTGATATAGTCTGTAAAAATCGACAGGATATAGTAGCACACTCTGTCGAACGTTCTATAGAATTATCCTGCGTTGAGAGTCAACAGTATATTATAGTATGCGTGTATCGACCCCCCTCAGGTGATTTCGATCTGTTTGAGTGTGTAATGGATGATGTACTTAAAAAACTCTGTTCAAGTAGTAAATCAGTAGTAGTTTGTGGAGATTTTAATGTGGATTTATTACAAGTGACACATCTTAGTAAACGACTTTTAAATTTATTTAGTTCATTTAAACTTAATAATCTTTTTCATGAACCAACTCGTGTCACTAACTCATCCTCCACATGTATAGATAACGTTTTCTGCCACGATAATGTATATGATAAATATGTTATAAATTATCTGAGCTCTGACCACTTTGGTTTAAAATTTTCAATAAATGAAAAAGTTATTACAAGCAAACAAGATCAAGTGTAGACCAGTCACTACTAATAGAATAAATTCTTTTAAAGACAAAGTGGCACATCATATGTTAAATAAAGATATAGAAGTCAATAATCCTAATGATTCTTATAAATCAATGGTTGACTTTCTCATATCTTCTTATAATGATATATTTAAATCGCGCACAATTGTTAAAAATTCAAAATTAAAATTTAGTGACTGGGCAACAGTGGGTATATATAAAAGTAGGGATTCACTGTATGAATTATATAATATGAGGCAGTGGAATCATGACCCCAACTTTCATAAAAGGGTACAAATATTCTCAAAAATATTTAAAAAAGTCTGTATTCAGGCAAAATCTATTCATATAAGAAATAGAATAATAAATTCAAACAATAAAATTAAAGCCACATGGGACATCATTACCCGTATATCTGGAAGACCCAAGATATTCAGGGAACCTATAAAACTGGTTATAGGTAATCTAACTAAAAATCCCATAACATCAGATAATGAAATTGCAAGTAGTTTTGAAAGCTATTTTTCAGAAATTGCAGTTAATGTCACATGTACATTAAAATCATCTCCAATAGATGCAATTAACGTTCTAAGAAATAATGTTACTTTTTGTCCACACACATTTAAATTTAATCACGTAGATACTTATGATATTATAAAAGTTTTGAATTCTATTAATCTTAAGAATACAGGGTATTTATGGGGCATGTCCATAAAATTAATGACCACAATAATGCCATATATTGTACGACATTTAGCTAATATTTTTAACAACTGCATAGATTCTGGAATATTTCCAGATCTTATGAAATTTAGTAAGATAATCCCCGTCTTCAAAAGTGGGGATAAAAATGATCCAGGAAACTACAGACCTATCTCCATATTGCCATCTCTGAGTAAAATTTTTGAAAAACTAATTTTAAATCAGCTCTTAGTACATTTTAATATGAACAAAATTTTTCACAATGAGCAATATGGATTCACTAAAGGCAGATCGACAACAGATGCGGGTATCGCACTTGTCAAACATATTTATAACGCCTGGGAAGGGTCGCAAGATGCAATAGGTGTTTTTTGCGACCTTTCAAAAGCTTTCGACTGCGTGGATCACAAAACCCTCCTTCTAAAGCTTGATTATTATGGCATTCGTGACATCGCCCTCAATCTCATTGCTTCTTACCTTAATAATAGAATTCTAAAAGTATCTATAAATGATGTAAATTCCGCAGGGTCCCCCATGAAAATGGGTGTCCCACAAGGATCGATCTTGGGCCCATTATTATTCTTAGTATATATAAATGATCTCCCCTTCTATGCCAGTGAGTTATGTGATGTTGTACTGTTTGCTGACGACACATCGCTTATTTTTAAGGTTGACCGAAATGTATCGAATTATGACGACGTGAATAGTGCACTTTCGCGTATCCTCCACTGGTTTACCATTAATAATATGGTGTTAAATGCTAAAAAAACTAAATGCCTTCTTTTTGCCCTTCCCAACGTAAGAAGGCAAAGTTTTAGCTTAAAATTGAATAGCGTAACCCTTAATCCTGTTGAGTCCGCTGTATTCTTGGGAATCACAGTAGATTCAAAGCTCCAATGGAGTCCCCATCTATCGTCTCTTGCGAATAGGTTAAGCTCCGTTGTTTTTGCAATTAGGAAGGTTAGGCAGCTATCAGACATCGACACTGCCAGACTTGTTTACTACAGTTATTTTCACAGCATCTTGTCGTACGGCATATTGTTGTGGGGTAGTGCATCTGATATAAATTCAATATTTATTATTCAAAAAAGAGCTGTCCGAGCAATTTATAACATCGGAGCCCGGAATACACTCAGAGATCTTTTTAAAGAGATTAATATACTCACTGTTGCGTCTCAATATATTTGTTGTAATATTTTGTATGTTAAACAGAATATTAATAATTATCAAAAGAATAGTGACAGACATAAACTAAATACTAGAAATATTGAGAGTTCCAATTTCTTATACGTTAATGACGATATAAATTGCATAGTCTATCTTCAAGGAATAGAGAGTCTATTCTTATTACCTTATATTGAATGGGGATTACGTTTATATAATATTTTATTACTATGTTCGTGTAATCTTAAGTGTAACCGATATTTTTAGGGTTCCGTACCTTCAAAGGTAAAAAGGAACCTTACAAGATCACTCTCTTGTCCGTCTAACTGTCCGTGTGGCACCACCGATTTTATACCAGATACTGATGTCTATTGCCCTTATTTGGTGTATAAATTTGCAAAATTTTGTGAATTTATGACAACGGGAACTACCATATAGGTTTTCGACCCAAAACCTACAGGGTACTTCCGGTTGACCTAGGATTGTCAAATTTGATTAAGAGCAAGGTCTTTAAAATAGTGAAATATTTTCGTCATTATTTCGAAAATACGCAGGCTTACTTATCATCCAGCAACGGAATCGAACTCAGGCTCTAGTATGTAGAATTCAAGGCGAGCGCCTGGACAATGAGCTATCACGGCTCGTAGAAAATTATGTTTTAATAAGTAATGTTTATCAAATTATCACTTATGAACATATAGGGCTCCCCATAGACTGCAATCTGTAAAGTATAAATTATTTTTTTCGATATAATACTGTCAGAAATAGAAACGTTAACTGATTCTTTTAAAAAACTTATTGGCCAGTAGGCCAGACTACATAGAACTAGAAATATAATTCTAAGTAACCAACGCAATCGTTAATAATTCGTGTAGGTACAACGACTGACGGAAAATTGTACGAACATGGTGAGCGCTGCTCATGTAATAGCTAGTTTCAGTGTTGCTATTTGATGTTTCGATTTATTTACAACAATATAATAATGATCGGTCTTGATAAACAGTTTGGGCTGGAGCTATATGCGTGGGAGTCTCCCGTGCGGCAGGAGCTCTGGTGGCAAGCCGGAAACGATCACCGAGGCTGGCTGCACTATTAGGGGGACTCTTGTTACCACTTGCGTGCCTCTTTACTTCCTTTGCAACCCAATTGCACCAAACTCTACTTAGTTACGGTACGTGAAAGGTTGTAAACCAAAATTTCATACATTAAATAATTCGTAGATTACACACAATCTTACTTTAGCTCGGTATTAACATGTGACTTTATGATTTCCCAAAATCGCTGTAATAGGATGAAATTATCACTGGTGAAAGTTGACTCTTCGCTTTTGTGTTTAAATTGCGACTCGTTCCGACAGGAATAGTTCTCGGAGTTGGCTGCGGATTAGTGCGCGAGGCAGCTGGCCTGGTCCTGGGGGCATACTTTCGTCGACGCCGACAGTTCGTGGAATTGGTGGCGCACGCCGGCGGAGGCGTCGGCATTGCCCTATTTAGCGTCGCGTATAAAGAGGCTGTGGGGTGAGATTGATTGCTCAATTACATCGCTCCACTTTAATACGCCTTTACTTGCCCCCTTTTAATAATTTAATATTAATGCGGAAAGTATATACAACAGTGTGACAGCTATTGGCCAGGAAGTGAAATATTCGGTGTGATAGACAATTATAATGTTGAAATGGTGTAATTATTCATATTCATTGTTGTATATAAATATGTTTATCTCTTATGTATTTCACCAAAAAAGGAGATGTTGCGTTTGGTGGTCAATAAAAATATAACTATCCCTACCACTAATATCCCTAGCTAATAACCTAATATATTTTATGCTACAATTGTTAATATCACCTGGGATGTGACCTGAGGGCATGCGAAGAATCCAGATATCTTTAACAACAGCAAAAAGGATGCAGTTATCATCGTAAATCTTGCTTCATCAGAAAACTTGGATGGCGATTGGGATTGCAGGCAGTGACCGTTGTACTGGTCCTAGCATTTTTCCTAAGCGCCGTGTACAGAAGCGCAACATTGTACCATCCGCAAAGGCGAGCAATTCAGCATCTAAAAAATCAGAGGCGAAAGGTAGGTTGTAATACAAGATGGAAAACATTTCTCCATTAGTGTTATATTTCATTAAAAAGAAAGGAAGAAAACTGATATCTGATGGAACGTTTTTGTTCTTAATAAAACTGCCGTTTTTTGTTTCGTTGTTTGTACTGAGGGGTCTTGCTATTATACAGTTTATATAATGAATGAAAGTGGTTCCCGTACAACACTTGTTTAGTGTATTTCTTATAATATTAGTTTCCGAGTAGGTTTTGGGTAAGCATTTTCAGTTACAGAATATCAACTTATTACTAATGTCATATCGTTATATTTAATCGTATCTCAATTGTGATAATCCTTTAAGTGCATTTGTGCAATGTTATGAATGCTTTTAAGTGATCCAAACGTAATCTTTGAAAATAAATATTGAAACTGTAGAATATGCATTTTTGCAACATCATGTACGGTACACAGTAAAGAAAATTTTATTTTTTAACTAATGGTCCAATTTCCATGCCTTATAAATACATCTTACAATTTACAGGTTAAAGAAAAGAAAGGGCTAAAAAGGCCGCCATTTATTGATTTAAGTTCTTTACGCTCTCGACCTGCAAAAGTTTTGTCGTTATCTACTGGTTTGGCAGCATTTGGCCTTTACACTCCAGTCTTTTTCTTGGTGAGTGTACGAGACGATTAAATATACAAAAATATTCCATATTATTACGCCGATTTACCTCGATTAATTTTTCAGGCTTTACAAGGTTTTCAAGAAGGCTTAGAAGAAAGTGCGTTGGTGTTATTACAAACTTTCTTGGGTTTCGCTGCTGTTCTTGGGTGTGCTGGATTTGGATTAGTGCTTGTTCGTCCGTCGGCACAATGTTTAGTTTCAAAACAATATCTCTGTCAAACAGCTATGCTAGGTATAGGTAGGTAGAAAAGAGAACGCATAATGCGTACATGAAATGTAGTCTTATAATACATAAATATGTAGTCTTAATATACACATCTTTTTCAGGAATTTCAATGCTAGCTTTAAGTAGCGTAGAAGGTTACCATGGTTACGTCCTTTTCGCGTGGATGTACGGCTTATGTCTTGGGGGATTCCTCTACTCAATAAAAATGCTTACAATGGAGCGTATTCGAGGACGGCACTTCACTAAAGTCTGGGGTGCGTATCGAAATCGAAAATATCAACTAGGGCTACTTCACCCTAAAAATTGACACGGCAATTTTTTACGCAGGCTTCGTTCAGGGAGCCGAGGCGCTTCCAGTGATCGTTGGGGTGCCGATGACCGGTTACATCAATCAACAGGCACCGCGGGCTGGGTTTTATTTTTCAACGGCCGCGACCCTAGCCGGCGCGTTGATGCTGTTCTTCGTGGGGTTTTCGAAACGTGAACCGGAAGCACCGTCGGCACCTGCGCCCGCCATAAGCGAAGCGTGCCTTTGCATGACACCGCCGCGCTGCGAGCCCGCGTGGTGCGCGTGCAGCGCTGGTGGGGCGACCGCTTACTGCGCTTGGCCCACAACTTGCACCACCCGCCTCCCCAGATCCCTATCGTACGCCGCCCCGCTAAGCCGCACCTGCTGCTCGGCGAGATATCCCGAATGCTGCCGTCGGGCAGCCCTACTACGGCCCTCACGGAGCGTCCCAGAGGGACTGGCCAAGTGCCCCAGCACTTGGAACCGCGCAGGCTCCTGCAGGACTGCCTGCAATCGTCGCGAGCAACATCTAATAGAACAGATCACCACGTCCGTTTGATGTATACCTAAAGTTTTTAGAGTAATAGAAAAATGGACAACAATACAAATTATAAAAGTGAATGGTTATAGGTCTATTATAATTTGTTGCGTTTATTGTGGGAGTGAATGTGTAAATACTTTGTGTAGCGGAGTAAAATTCATTATAAAAATCAATGGTTATGGATCGACTAGCTAACCCGGCAAATATTGTTGTGTATTGTTTTGCCATATAAATTAAAAAATGTTTGGGGTGGACCACTCTTAACATTTAGGGGGATAAAAATAGATGTTGTCCGATTCTCTACCCTGGCCAATATGCACACAAAATTTTACAAAATCGGTCGAGCCGTTTCGGCGGACAAACACCGTGACACGAGAATTTTATATATAACATTTTAATTTTTCGTGTATATTGTGGGAGTGATTGTGTAAATACTTTGTGTAGCGCAGCTTTAAGGTTTAAAATTCGATCATATAGCAATAAAAGAATTTAACAGAAGTCCATTTATCAAGGCTAATTATTGTATACAATTCTTTTTATCCTTTATTTATTACCACCGTAACCATTTAATAAAATTGTTTAATATAATAATTTGCAAAAGTCTTGTTTTTTAAACTATATAACAATAATTAGTACCCAGTAACAATTGTTTGTGCGTCATCATTTATATAAAATTTAATTATTCTGTTCTTCAAAAATATCAAGAATTGTAAAATAAAATATTTTAACTTTTGTAGGGATTATTTCAATCTATAGTAATTGACTGTAATGTAATAATTGAAATATTATTTATAAAATAAAAGTAATTAAAGTAGGAATTGATTTTCGTTTCAATTATAACTTCCATTATAATAAATTCTTGTGGCACCTATCATGGTACAGTTTATATTCACAAGATGGTGGTGAATTACGACATTTGGGGTATATAGTGATATAAAAGCTGGTCACTATTTGGCAAGATTGTCAAGTTTTTTTTATGTGAGAAAGGGCAAACGAGCTGGCGGTTCACACGAAGTTAAGTAATAATCGCACCCATGGACATTTGCCATATCCTTAGGGTTGCAACTGCGTTGCCGTTCAATACAGTGGGCCCGACTACCTCGGTCACGAGACAAAACGTAGAAGTATATTTATACATTACGCCGGTCTTCTCTGAGGTCGTAGTACTTACCCGGACGGACCTGCCCATTTGTACAAAAGTGAACACTGTTGCGTGACCCTACCACAGTTAAAGTTTCAAAATCTTAGTACATGTAAGGCATTCAAATAAGAAAATTATATCTTTGTATTATTTTGAAATTCAAACTGTAAGTCTGCAATGTTTATTTCTCCAATATGGACAGCAATATCAACAGAAACTAGTGTATAAATATTCACAGTTAGGAACACAATAAGGAGGGTAACACATAAACGAGTTCTTGTATTTAAAAAAACGTTAGGTGGAGAGTGAAGTGGCCGGATCACACTATGCGTCATCTTACACATATCTCATAATTCACAGCGAAATTTCTAGATGCGCGCGGACTTTAAACTATTTTTTTTATGTGAAAATTTGCCAAACGAGCAGACGGTTCACATGATGTTAAGTGAATCCGCTGCCCATGGACATCTTCTAACTACACTCGAGGGTTTGCAGATGCGTTGACAACCTTATTTGAAACTAGGCTCCGGCTACCTCACTCACCAGACGAAACGCGAAAGGATGTGCCTGCCCATTCGTGCAACAGCCGAACCTGCTGCGTTCCTCTACCATCGTGATACAATATCAATAATATTTACGTTGTCGAAGTTACTGTTTTTATAATAATTGCGTAACCGTTTCACATATATTTCACTTTATAAAGTCTCATACATGCAAATTCATATAATATTGGTACGAGCTAACGGTTCGGGATTGGAGTGAAACGCATGCTGATTTGTGTAAATCGTCACTTTATATTATATTGAACACGTGTGTGGCGGCGCTCTCGGTCGACACCGCTCAAACCTGTACTTTTTTACTACAGATGCGAAACCTCTCTCTTCTCACTCTAATCCAGCAGTTAGACAACTACAGGAGCGACGCCGTCTCGTTACAGCACCACCTGCCACGTAAGCCTTTACACGACGTTTGGAGCGTCGGCCTTACACCTCTTCACACTTGCACTTCACTTTCTTCATTTTGCCGTCTCCTCTTCCTCTACGACTTCCTCCACTGAACTGCCTGCCTAGCGCGCTCCGGGCTACTGTAGGCTGAATTTACATCTGAATCTTTCTAACACAAGTTGTTCTAACACATCTACAAGTCAAGTCAACGGTGGTAGAGCCACGCAGCAGCCTTGGCTGTTGCACGAATGGGCAGGCTCGTCCGGGTAAGTACCACGACCTCACAGAAGATCGGCGTAAAGTGGAAGTATGACAAATACTTTCGCGTTTCGTCTGGTGAGTGAGGTAGCCGGAGCCCAATTTCCAAAAAAGTTGTCAACGCATCTGCAACCCTCGGGTGCAGCAGATGTCTATGGGCGGCGGTATTCACTTAAAATCAGGTGAATCGTCTGCTCGTTTGGCAACATTTCAAATAAAAAAGTGTTTCTAACACATCTACTACCTCGATGTAGCAGGTAAAAAAAATTTAAATGATAGATAACTATAAAGAAAAATCACAAAGATCCGACACAGGGCACCCCGACTCCATGTGGTCGTGTGATCCCTACCCCTTAGTAAACATAAAAAGGCGGAGCCAGAACCTCGGGTCGGAGGTCCTGAGTGGAGCATGTTCGCGAGGCCAAGCGGAGCGAAGATCGAGTGGGTGAAGCGAAGAGAGTTATGGCGAAGCCCATGGAAGAGTCAAATTAAATAATGAAATAATAATTTTTTAATATTTCTTATATTCCTTTAATTCGTTTCTGTATTTTTTTTTGTTTGCTTAATCGAATTAGTAGGCAGCTAAAATTAAATCTCAATTAACCTCATCCAAAAGTGTCATCGCAAATCATTGGCATTTAAGATGTCAACCTCTCTGAAAAAAAAAAAAAAGAGTAAAGTAACAGCCTATACATGTCCCACTGCTGGGCAAAGGCCTCCACAGACAGAGGGTGTCAGGGCATATGGACGGTTGGCGGACGGTTGGCGGTACGTATTGGCGGACGGTTGGCGGTACGGATTGGCGGACTCCACATATCTTCGTAATATATTTTTTTGTTACTATTTCGAAAATATGCAGATTTCCTCACGATGCTTTCCTTCACCGAGGAGCACGTGATAAGTCAGCACTTAAAGTTTTAACTTCATTGGCGCCGGCACCGGGGATCGAAATCAGGTTGCTCGAGTATATTGAATTGAAGGCGAGCACCCGGACACTAAGCTATCACGGCTCACTTTTTTGTTAAATGAAATCTATAAATATAAGTCCACTGCGCGTGTGTATGTGCCTGAACGCCTCCTAAATGGCGGGGCCTTTTTCCTGATGTAATTTTTTGTTCGTATTAAAATCGATTGATTGAATTGTTTAGGCTCACAATTCAGTCCACAACAATTTTATTTTTTTTATTTTTTATTTACAAGTTGTTGGATTTAGACGTGTGTTCAAGACAAAGTCTGTCGGATCTGCTAGCTATATAGGCACATTGGGAGGTTTGGATGGAAAAAAATCAGAGGTTTCCTTCACCTACGTGCTAATGTCACTTGTTTTGTTAATTATGATGGTGACTTTAAAATTTGGTAATTTTTTAGATTTGTTCGATAGTAGTTCTTCAAAATTAATATTCTATACAATTTATGATTATGTACCAATGATGAAAATTAGTTTAAATTATCAGAAATAAAATAGGTCTCTTGCAGTTTAAATTAGTGCTTTATGATTTTACTTAAATAATTTCCATAAATAATTTAAAACTTAAAAAAAAAATCACTAGTTTTAAGTTATCATTTTTGTCGGCAGTCCCCATGGTTACATACAATAAAGTCACATCGTACAATATAATAAGAATTTATAGTTACAGCTTGAATAGAAGTAATGTTCACATATATTCGTATGAAATATTACTCGCCAACAGGGAACTTCGAGGTTGAAATGGAGTTGCTTTTATGTATAACGGACTAACCATTCCGAATTATTAAGCAAAATACGAGAATCTGTTTATTTTACACTTCTAATTTATAGTAAATGATTTGAATAGATTAGATGCATGTTCGTGTTTTCATCCCTGTTACGTTATTTATTTTATACCATTTTTAAGGGAGGAACTATGAACTATAATAGCAGCTCTAAACTAATATTATTATTATTACCCTGTATGTAACTTCCGAATGTTACCCCAGTACATTGGTCTACAACTCTACATCGATAATTCAGTTATTGTTAAATAATAAATCCTTTATTATTCAAACATTAAACCATTCTAGATTGAACAAATTCAACACTAGTCCATTAAAGAATACGCGTGAAGATGACTATTGAAAATAAAATATGTCACATTTTTTAAAATTCGCCGTTTGTAACTTGAACAATGCCTATATATACAAGAAGGTTAACTAATTTTAAATATAAATAACTAGCTGCTGCCCGCGACCACGTCTGCGTAGAATAGGCTGAAGGCGTAACATTCAGACAGAAAGACAAATATACATAAAATATGTATATAAATTATAGCCTATGTCTTATTCTGATGTATAAGCTATATTATTGTAAAGTTTCATTAATATCCATTCAGTAGTATTTGCGTGAAAGAGTAACAAACATCCATCCATACACACAAACTTTCGCCTTTATAATAGTAGTAAGGATTTAGTAAGGATTCTGTAACTCCCTGAATATAACACCAAATATAGAGTAACTAAAAAGGCTAATAACATTCAATTATATGAGATTAACAATAAGATATAATTGACACTATTTTAATACAGTTTAACAAAAAAATAAACACAATAACTCGTAATCCAAACAAATCCAAACATGTTTTGTGCAGGTTACTTTGTAAGCAGATGGGATTCTTATTTTTTGTACGGTTAGTACTCGTATGAATGTTTTTGCCTTG